GGACTGTTTTCAGGCTGGTGGGCGACTGAAGCTCCCAGCCTCTGCTTTTTTCTTTTTTTTCTTTTTTTTTTTTTTTTCTGGTTAAGGTTCCACTTTATTAATCTTTTGGTAGGGTCTCTGCTATACTCCTACTGTTCCTGCCCTTCCCACATTCCTGGAATCCTGAACAAGTTTACGGCTTAGAAGGAAATGTTCTTGTCTCTAGGTTAGCAGTGTGTCTGCCCAATAGACTCGATGCCCAGGACTCCTGTTCCTGCCAAACTGGTTTTCTCACTTTTCAGATTTGAAGTTGAGGCTCTCCTTAGTAAAATCAACCCAAATGTTTCTAGCATTGATTTGTTTCATGGATTTGATCAACATCTAGTTAGTACCTTCTATATAGCAGGCACTCGTTATTTTGGCTGGGCCACAAAAAATATTTGTTGCGGGCCTCGAGTTTGACATGGTTGGTTTAGCTCTTTCCCAATTCTTCCTCCTCCTTCTTTCTCTTTTTTCTTCTTCCTATTTGTATTTCATCTTTATAAACTAAGCAGGAGTTATTACTTCATGTGCATTGTGCTTAAATATGTGCATTCCAAGATGACTTCTGAGCAAAAGCACAAGGTTTGCATTAAGGACAAGATTATCTTCTGTTCTGATGCCTTTTTGTCTGTTACAACCACATTAGACTAACCACAAAGTCACTCTTATTTTTCCAAAGATGCTCTGAGCCAGTTGTTCCCTGACCATTATTAATACTATTTATCTTTAGCTCTAGGACCTGCATTAGTTAGTTAGGGCTGCCATAACAAAGCACCAGGCTGGGCAGCTTGCACCAGAAATTTATTTAGTCAGTTCAGGAGACTAGAAATCTGAGATCAGGATGTCAGCAGGGTTGTTTTTTCCTGAGGCCTCTCTCCTTGGCTTGCAGGTGGTCCTGACTACCTTTTTGCTGCATCCTCACATGGGCTTTCTTCTCTTTTTTTTTTTTTTAAATTAAATCTTTATTGTTCAGATTATTACATTTGTTCCTCTTTTTTCCCCCATAACTCCCCTCCTCCCAATTCCCGCCCCACCCTCCACCCTCACTCCCCACCCACTGTCCTCATCCATAGGTGCACGATTTTTGTCCAGTCTCTTCCCACATCTCCCACACCCCTTTCCCCCCCAAGAATAGTCAGTCCATTCCCTTTCTATGTCCCTGATTCTATTATGATCACCAAATTATTTATTCACTTGTTTCTTAGATTCACTTGTCGATAGATGCATATTTGTTGTTCATAATTTGTATCTTTACCTTTCTCTTCTTCTTCCTCTTCTTAAAGGATACCTTTCAGCATTTCATATAATACTGGTTTGGTGGTGATGAACTCCTTTAGCTTTTCCTTATCTGTGAAGCTCTTTATCTGACCTTCAGTTCCAAATGATAGCTTTGCTGGATAAAGTAATCTTGGTTGTAGGTTCTTGGTATTCATCACTTTGAATATTTCTTGCCACTCCCTCCTGACCTGCAAAGTTTCTGTTGAGAAATCAGCTGACAGTCGTATGGGTATTGCCTTGTAGGTAACTGGGTTTCTTTCTCTTGCTGCTTTTAAGATTCTCTCTTTGTCTTTTGCTCTTGGCATTTTAATTATGATGTGTCTTGGTGTGGTCCTCTTTGGATTCCTTTTGTTTGGGGTTCTCTGCACTTCCTGGACCTGTAAGTCTATTTCTTTCACCAGGTGGGGGAAGTTTTCTTTCATTATTTCTTCAAATAGGTTTTCAGTATCTTGGTCTCTCTCTTCTTCTGGCACCCCTATAATTCTGATGTTGGTACGTTTGAAGCTGTCCCAGAGGCTCCTTACACTATCTTCGTATTTTCGGATTCTTTTTTCATTTCGCTTTTCCAGTTGGGTGTTTTTTGCTTCTTCGCATTTCAAATCTTTGACTTGATTCTTGCGCTCCTCTGGTCTGCTTTTGGGTGTCTGTATAATTTTCTTTATTTCAGTTAGTGTATGCTTAATTTCTAGTTGGTTCTTTATCACAACGTCGAGGGTCTCATTAGATTTCTTGAGGATCTCACTACATTTATCGGCGGTCTCACCAGTCTTTTCAAGGGCCTTACTAAGACAGTTCTTGAGAGACCTTAAAAGTGTGGTTTTGAGGTCTATATCTTCCATTTCTGACATTTGCGTCCTATTTCTTTGTCTCCGCATTTTTTTATGTTTTCTTGGTGCACCCCCTAGTGGTCTTTGTGCGCAGTCTTGTTGTAGTTAAGCCTTGATTGTCAGCAATACCAGGGGTGATTTGACCTCCAGGCTAACTGGCTATGAGAGTCAGCTGTGTCTGCAGTGGGAGAGCTTCTGTGCTGGATCTCTAGGGCGGTGCTAATCTAGCGTTTGCCTGAGGCTATCTGGCAAATGGCTGTGCGCAGGGCTTGGGCGGGGTGGGTCCCCGGGGATCTACAGGGCGGGCGGAGCAAGCAGTTATGGCTGCTTTCAGTTCCGTCCCTAGGGGCTCTGCCTCTCAGAGTCCCAGCAACCGCTGCAAACCTCTGAGAGAAAGCTGCCTTCGAGTTCCGACTGAAGCCAGACAGTCCCGCTTCTCCTGTTTGAGTCTGGGTCCCTAGAGACTCGCCCGGATCTGGAGCTCAGAGTCTGAAACTCCCTCCCGATTGAAAACAATAACCGCGCCCTCCGCCGCCAGCCCGCTCCGCACGCGCACTCCGCACCTGAGTATTTCACTTCAGCACTGCGCCTCCTCTGAGTTTAGGTATGATATTCTCTTTCCTCCTAGTTGTAGAATTTCCACTCAGCCAGCCTTCCTGTGGTTCTGGATGATGTCCGTTCTGTCCTTTAGTTATATCTCTGAAGTGGTTGTTCGAGGCAGCAATCTCCTGCGTTAACCTATGGCGCCATCTTGGTTTCTCCGGCTTTCTTCTCTTGTTGGTGTCTCTTTGTGTGTTCAAATTGTCTCTCTCTTTTTTTTTTTATTCTGGGATTTATTTACCTTCTATAGCTGTCACTGGAGCTGAGAGCCGGCTCCAGCTCTGAGGCCGTTGCTGGCTGAAAGCGGGTACCTGGGTTTGTTTAGGTTCTATAATTGAAACTCTGTTGCCATCACTGGCCGCTCTAAGCTCTGAGGCCGCGCTGGCTGAAAGCAGGTACCTGGGGTTTGTTTAGGTTCTATAATTGCAACATAGTTGCATCTGGAGCTCAGAGCTGGGCTGCGGCAGGCGGGGAACCTTAGCTTCCTCCATCACTGGAGCAAGCAAGCCTCATGTTCGCTTCAGCTGCCTGGCTGCCAGCCGCCATCTTGGCTGGCAGTTAATTTGCATATCTTGCTGATTAGCCAATGGGAAGGGTAGCGAAGTTATGGTTAATTACCATGTTTCTCTATTATTAGATAGGATAGATAAACTTGCTTAATTAGACCTGCTTTCTGATTTAGCTAAATTTTTTCCAGCCCAGGGAAGCACCCCAACTTCTCTTTCAGGTAATTGTCAGCAACACAGCAGTAAATATCAACACAAAGCAGATTATTATTGTAGATCACACAGGAAGAACAAAGGGTAAAATATTTAACTGCAGCAGTGTTTGACTACATTCTCTGCATTGAGAAAACCTGAAGTCATTTTCAAGGTCCACCATTTCTTACTTCTTTTCAGTTGGGTCAAGTTTCTAAGCTTTCTAAATCTCCATTTTTCAGCTAATGAAAAGAAAATAGGATTCCTCTGAGTCTCCTATCTACCTATTCCAGGACTTCTGTGAGGATCAAATGAGATGAGGCATGGGAAAACATTTCACAGACATTTGGTTAAAGTGTAAAATGTTTCCACCTTGCTATAAAGCAAGTCGTGTTCCTGGGCTGAAGAAACTCCAAGGAGGCTAGTCGCTAGGGAGAAGAAGCTGGGAGTTGCTCTGTGACGTCATTACCCGACACCCACAGCGACCGTTTCTGGGCTGGGCTGGGCTGTGGGCCGCATTTTATACCATGGGGTCTCGGCAGCGTCAGCTGTGATTTGGTGGGGTGTTGCTCTGGGGTGGTGGCAGGGCCTATGTCCCAATTGGGGGAAGCCAAGTGTTGTTTTGTGGGCACCAGGTCCGCGGTGCCGTTTCACTGTAAATGGTCAGTGCGTGCCAGGGCAGCTCCTGCATTGAGCGTCTGCCCCCTGGTGGTCAGCGCACATCATAGTGACCAGTTGGACAGTCGGACACTTAGCATATCTTTTATATAGAGAGACATTCTATTTAGAAAAGAAAACTGAACCTGTAGTTGATGTTGAAAATGACGGAAAAATATTTTTGCATCTCAAAGAAGCCTAAAATGCTAAGGAAGGAAAAATGGTGTTTCTGAATGATAACATTGTAATTAAAAATACAGTAGTCCCCCCTTATCCATGGTTTCACTTTCCACAGTTGCATTTCCCCATGGTCAACTGTGGCCTGAAAATATCAAATGGAAAATTCCAGAAATAAACAATTTATAAGTTTCATATTATGCCCTGTTTAGAGTAGCTTGATGAGATCTCCCACCATCCCACTCCGTCCCACCCAGTACATGAATCACCCCATTTGTCCGGCATCTCCACGCTGTGTACGCTTCCTGCCCATTAGCCACTTAGGCACCATCTGGGTTATCAGATCAACTGTTGTAGTATCACTGTGCTTGTGTTCAACTAACCCTTATATTACTTAATAATAGCCCCAAAGCTCAAGAGTAGTGATGCTAGCAATTCAGACACACCAAAGAGAAGCCATAAAGTGCTTCCTTTACGTAAAAAAAAAAAAAATGTAAGTATGTATAGGAAAAACATGGTATATGTAGGGCTCAGTACAGCCTGCAGTTTCAGTATCCCCTGAGGGTCTTGGAATCTATTCCCCTGGAGAAGGGGGCAGGCGGCCACTGTACAGGAAAATAGAATTCCTAATAAAATGTTACTATCTGACCACTTGAGCGAAAACATCACACTTGCTTGAATAAGATAGTACCCAGTTGACTAATGAATCTTGACAAAATGCTTTCTCCCTTCTGTTTCCCAGAGGCCGTTTCTCCATAGTGAAGAAATGCATCCACAAAGCCACCCGCAAAGATGTTGCTGTGAAATTCGTCAGCAAAAAAATGAAGAAGAAAGAGCAGGCTGCCCATGAGGCCGCCCTCCTCCAGCACCTGCAGCACCCACAGTACATCACTCTCCACGACACCTACGAGTCTCCCACGTCCTACATCCTGATTCTGGAACTGTAAGTACAGGCGTTGTCTCCCTAAGGTGGTCCCCAGCTGGTTGGGTTATTTACTGGAAGCTGTCTTTAACACAGTGTCTTAGGTGACAAAGTGTTCTATATAGCACATGCCCTCTGCTCTCCACTTTATAAAAATGTAATTCCCATTTTTTAGAAAATCCAGGATAAGGAAGCTCCTTAAAGGTAGGAATTGGAAAAGCTGGGACTTAAACCCACATCTCTCTCAGTTTTCATTTTCTTTCTATTGTGGACTCTTGAGCTGGGCAGTTTAGAAAAACCTGATGGACAATAGGCTTATCGACAGGGCTAGGGTTGAAATGAGAGAAGGTTTGTGCATCAATCCACTGCCATCGCATCCCATCTACCATCCAAGAAATTCCTTTAAAGGTGGAACCTAGCTTTGAAATGTCCCACTCATTCCAGATTTTCTAGGGACTCAGGCAACCATCAATTTTGGCCACAGAAGACATCAAATAAAGTAGTGAGGTCCCATTCTCCTCACCACTACCCCAAGCTAAGGACAGAGGGCATGCTCTGTGCTGTAGAAAGACTTTACAGAGACTAAAGAAAGTCTTTTCAGCTGTGCTGAGCCCTCATAGAAATGTTATCAGATTGGTGCTGATGAGACCCGGCCAGGGGAGGAGACAGACATTGGCACCGAAGGCCAATGCTGTGTTTGGCTCCACAGAACCTCTGTTCAGTAGAGAAGCACCTGCACTTACAGCTTACAACTGTCATTTTAGTCTTGCTCTTGTGTACTTCTTGATCTAGCTCAGCGATTTTCAACCGGTGTGCTGCAAGAATTTTAAAACATGCAATACCTGACTATTTAGTTAGGGGCACTGATCTCTTTTCCCTTAGATTGTCAAATAAAAAATTGACAACAGCCAACACAACAGTAGCTGTCCAGGGTGAATGAATCAAAATTATACCTATTGCCCTAACCGGTTTGGCTCAGTAGATAGAGCGTCAGCCTGTGGACTGAAGGGTCCCGGGTTCGATTCCGGTCAAGGGCATGTACCTTGGTTGCGGGCACATCCCCAATAGGGGGTGTGCAGGAGGCAGCTGATCGATGTTTCTCTCTCATCAATGTTTCTAACTCTCTAGCCTTCTCCCTTCCTCTCTGTAAAAAATCAATAAAATATATTTTTTAAAAAATTATACCTATTTTTTTTGTCAGATGAGCAAAAGTATTTTTGGTGTTATGCAGAATTTTAGTGGTTAGTTTATGTGTGCCATGAAATGCAAAAAGTTGAAAATTGTTGGTGTAGCTGTATGTGTATGGGGGTGTTTGCAGAAGTAACTTATCATAAATTTATTTATGATGAATAAAAAAAGCCCAGCCCTAACCGGTTTAGCTCAGTGGATAGAGCGTCGGCCTGCAGACTGAAAGGTCCCAGGTTCGATTCCAGTCAAGGGCATGTACCTTGGTTTCGGGCACATCCCCAGTAGGAGATGTGCAGGATGCAGCTGATCACTGTTTCTAACTCTCTATCCCTCTCCCTTCCTCTCTGTAAAAAATCAATAAAATATATTTTTTTAAAAAAGCCCAAATGCAAACATCTTAGGCTAAATTTGTAACTTGGTTGAAAAGAAATAAAACCAACACTGTTAGTATTGGTAATTCTTTTGTGATACTTACACAGCTGTGCAGTAGCTGGTGGATTGTCACTTTGGACTTAGCAAATGCACTTACAAACAGCCTTTCTGAGCCTAACCTGTTTGTTTGGGAGCTTCTTAACTCAAGTGGTAAATTCTGTGGACAGTGAATTATCTTTGTTTACAAGTGACATGTAATATTTGCCTAGACTTACGATAAAAGGTATTATCACTTGCATACCAAGGTGGTACAGCAACCCAGGACCTTTGCTCCTTCAGATTGCAGATCACCATCCCAGGGAAGGTGTCAATCACCAGGCTCTTGGTGCAATGGAGAGACGAGCCCTTGGAATGAAGAAACTGGGCTCTAGCCCCAGCTCTGCGTTTGGGGCAGTGTATGTGGCTTCCTGGACCTCGGGGTTCCCATCTGTGAAGTCTACAGAATTAGTCCCACTTCTCAGAGATGTTGCAGGGATTAAACTAGATGAAGAGTGAATTGAACTAGTTTATCAACATGTACTGGGCACTCACTATGTGCCAACCACCGTGTAGACCTGAGTCGGGGTGGGGAGAACAAAGATGAAAAAAGTAGCTCTTGACCATGATGAGTTATACGTTGAATGAGGAAGACCAATAGCTAAATGAATGATTTCAATTTCATAGGTACATGCATATTTTGGAGAGAGTTAACTGTGAGAACCTAGAAAGGTACTTGGTTGGACTTGAGGTGAGAGGCAGTTCCTGTGCTCAATCTTGGTTATGCTATGATGGTCACAGAAAGGGAGACCTAACTTTTCAACCTTAAAAACTGTGACTGAGAACAAGGTGGGAGGAACCAGGCAGACCATGATTTGAATCCTGATTCTGCCACTTGCAGGCTGGGAGCTTAGGGCAAGTCACTTAATTCTCTGTGTTATGGTTACCTCATCTTTAAAGTGGGAATAATAATAACAACCACAGCAATAATACCTACTTCATTATGAGGACTGTGCAGGGACCAAGTGAGACAATGAGGCATGTACACATAATTGGTAGTAATAATAAGTGCTCAATAAATGCCAACTACTTTCTTTTATTAAAAAATAAACCCTTATGTAGGTCTCCCTTTCTGTGACCATCCAAATGGCTGGTAGAGCTTTTCTCTACCAGACAACTGAAGCAGACAGCTAAGGTTCCGAGCCTCTAGTCCAGCAGTTCTCAACCTGCGGGTCACAATGAAAATACATCCTGAATATCAGATATTTACATTATGATTCATAACAGTAGCAAAATTACAGTAATGAAGTAGCAACAAAAATATGGTTGGGGGTCACCACATGAGGAACTGTATTAAAGGGTCGTGGCATTAGGAAGGTTGAGAACCACATGGCAGGGCCTGGGCATCTGCATTATCCAAGAGCTCTAAATGTGAACTTGGTGGCTGAGACTTTCGGATCTCAGAACAGTGCTGCTGTTAATTTCTCCCTTACGTGCTCCAAGAAGTCCAGGGGGATGCATCTCACAAGCCCAAAACTACTTCATAACATACTCACCACGCCCACCCCATGCCTGTCAGGGTCAGGGAAGGAAGACAAAGGAGGTCTTCATTGGTCCTAACCTTTGCTCCTGTCAAGGTGCACAGAAGAGACCTGTAGGAAGGAAGGAGCTGGAGAAGATAATGGAAACTGGGCCAAAGGCATTTCAGCTGTGCTGACCCTTAATCACGCCTCTCTGTCTGGGCATTTCCTGGGGATGTGCCTTTAAGAGCGTAACTGTCTGACATCTGGTCACTCCTTGCTAAAGAGGGCACAGGTACCTAGAAGTAGGTGACATTGCCCGGCCAGTGGCTCAGTGGTTGAATGTCATCCCAGGCGCCGAGAGGTCGTAGGTACGCTTCGGTTTCAGGCTCAATCCCCAGTAGGGAGCATGCTGGAGGCAGCTGGTGGATTTTTCTATCTCTTTCTTCCTCTCCTTCCTCTCTCTCTAAAAATCAGTAAAAACATATTTTTTAATAAAAGAAAGTAGTTGGCATTTATTGAGCACTTATTATTACTACCAATTATGTGTACATGCCTCATTGTCTCACTTGGTCCCTGCACAGTCCTCATAATGAAGTAGGTATTATTGCTGTGGTTGTTATTATTATTCCCACTTTAAAGATGAGGTAACCATAACACAGAGAATTAAGTGACTTGCCCTAAGCTCCCAGCCTGCAAGTGGCAGAATCAGGATTCAAATCATGGTCTGCCTGGTTCCTCCCACCTTGTTCTCAGTCACAGTTTTTAAGGTTGAAAAGTTGCTTCTAGTAAAAGGCAAAGTTTTCAAAAGGGGGTCAAGAATGCCAAAGAAAAACTTTGCCTACTTCCTGGATTTCACCAACTAAAACTTGACAAATAAAAATCCTTGAGGGATGTCAATTCTAATTCATTTATTTACTTATATTAGAATCCTTATGAATATTAAACAGAAACTAGGCTACCACAATTTAAATTTTTTTGTGTGTGAGTTCACAGTGCCATTTGGGGTGAGAGAAGGTAGGCAGGCTTTAACCACCCTGTCTGACTTTGTAGAAGGAAGCAGATAAAAGCCTGTGGGGCTGCTCGTAGCCACCACGTTCCAGATAATCAGATACTGCTGAGGTAGCTCTCAATCTCTCTCTCTGAAGGCTTCTCTATTTTACAACCTAACCTCTCAAAGGGCCTTGGAGTTGGATCTTTTTTGGCTGTGAGCAATTTTAAAAGTTAACCAAACAGAATGTGTCTTAAACAAAGTTATACAGATGTCTTCCCTGAAGCACACCACATTTGTAATTTTATTTACTTGTTTGCTTATTTATTTGTTTTAGTTCTAACTAAACTCTGGATAAAATATGCCTGTATGACCACTTTGATCTCTATAACAGGGGGTAGGAAAGATCTTACAGATTTGTATGTGTGTTATTTCTTTGTTTCTTTACAAACATAGTTCCTTTGCCTCTTCCTCCCTACTTTCAGGATGGATGATGGCCGGCTCCTGGACTACCTTATGAATCATGACGAGCTGATGGAAGAAAAGGTGGCCTTCTACATCCGAGACATCATGGAAGCGCTGCAGTACCTTCACAACTGCAGGGTGGCCCATTTGGACATCAAGGTAAAAAGAAACAGCCACCCCTGCAGGGAAGTGACCTAGTCCAACCTGCCAGTCATGATCCTGGAGGGATATTAATTCTAATTCATTTTTATTTACTTAGATTAGAACCCCTCTGAATATTAAACAGAAACTAGGTTGTCACACAATTTAAATGTGTTTTTCGTGAGTTCACAATGACATTTGGGGCGAGGGAAGGTAGGCAAGCTTTAACCACTACTTCTAACTTTGTAGAAGGAAGCAAGTAAATGTCAACTTTTCCATGGTGCTCAAGAAAGGCCCTGTTCTCCAAAATGAATAATTTATTTCTTCACTTGATTCACTGCAGAAGTAAGGGATACCTATGAAAACATGATTTTCCATGTCAAAGGACCTCCCAACCCCATTTAAGCTTAGTTTGAAGCCTCCTATGTGCTTTGCAGAGGGAATGTCCCATACACTATAGGCTTTATCAAAATACTAGAGGCCCGGTGCACAAAGTTCATACACTGGGGGGGAGGGTGTCCCTCAGCCTGGCCTGCACCCTCTCACAGTCTGGGAGCCCTCAGGGGATGTCTGACTGATGGCTAAGCCGTCAGTCGGACATCCATAGCGGTGCCATGGAAGCGGGAGAGGCTCCCGCCACCACCACTGTGCTCTCCAGCTGTGAGCCCAGCTTCTGACTGAGTGGTGCTCCCCCTGTTGGAGCACAGGGACCACTAGGGGGCAGCTCCTGCATTGAGCACCTGCCCCCTGGTGGTCAGTGAGCATCATAGCGATCAGTCATTCTGCTGTTTGGTCGATTTGCATATTAGCCTTTTATTATATAGGATAGCAGAGCTGTGCTTGAACTAATGGAGTCCTACTGATAGTCAAACAGAGAGCTGAACTTGCCTTCTCTTTTCCCCGCCTCCTTGGAACTATCTCCTCAGCCTGAAAACCTGCTCATTGACCTGCGGATTCCAGTGCCTCGAGTGAAGCTCATCGACTTGGAGGATGCTGTCCAGATCTCAGGTCACTTCCACATCCACCATCTGCTGGGCAACCCTGAGTTTGCTGCCCCAGAAGTGATCCAAGGCATCCCTGTGTCCCTGGGCACGGACATCTGGAGCATTGGGGTTCTGACGTACGTCATGCTGAGTGGGGTCTCCCCCTTCCTGGATGAGAGCAAAGAAGAGACGTGTATCAATGTGTGTCGGGTGGACTTCAGCTTCCCCCATGAATACTTCTGTGGCGTGAGCAATGCCGCCAGAGATTTCATCAATGTGATCCTACAGGAAGACTTCCGGAGGCGGCCCACGGCAGCCACCTGCCTGCAGCATCCGTGGCTGCAGCCCCACAATGGCAGCTACTCCAAGGTCCCTCTGGACACCTCCCGCCTGGCGTGCTTCATAGAACGCCGCAAGCATCAGAACGATGTGCGGCCCATTCCCAATGTCAAAAGCTACATCATCAACAGGGTAAACCAAGGGACGTAGCCGTGTCCCAGCCCTGGAGGTTTCACATGGAAGTGCAGTGTGAACCAAAGCAAGACTGAACATGCTGTAAATAATTCTGTTCATTATTTCACTCTGTGCAGTTCTCTGGATTGAGAGATGGTCCCTCTTCAACCTCATCAGTGGTTATTCAGGGTCTGAGCAGCAGAAAAATCACCGTCCATCAAGGGCTTTCCACAAGGCCAATCAGAAGAGACGAAGGAGGAGAAAGTCACGGAGAGTATTACAAAGAGGGGCAAGGATAACAGGAATACTAGCTGATACAGAATATTAAGTGTGTGTTCCAAAGAGAGTGGGTACCTGGACAAAACGTCAGCTCACTGTAGTGAGTGTGAAAGGTTTCTCTGCCTTGGCTGAAATTTTAAGCCAAAAGTTCTGTTTAACAGAGATGTCATGTATGCCAACTAGTGTGATTTAGATTCCTTAGATATCGTTTCTTTATAGGAACCATCTACACATACAGCGAACTGTGTCCCGTTCCGAATTCAGAGTTTTATAATGTAGAGGTATATATGAAAACAGCATAAGTAACTCTGAGTGCTCCAGTTAGGACAGTGATTTCTTTACCGAAGCATTACATTGTTTTGACTAAGCACAATTAGAGGACGAGTTTTTTAGAGCATTTTATACATCTTGTATAGAAATCTTTTACCAGAACCTGTGCATGAAGAGAAAACAGCTACCCCTTTGCAATCTGTGGGTGAGAAGGCCTTCCTCTCAGTCATAGGCATTTGACTCGCGTAGGTCCTGTATAGGAAATGCTACTCCCCAATTCACTGGCAGCTCAGAGTTCATCTGGCAGGAAAGCCTGCCGGAAAATCAGTCCATATACAGTAAGAGCTGTAGGCTGCTTTTATGTCTACACTTGGTTTGAAATTGATAGCAAATATAACAGGTTCATACAAAAGGGCAAATAGAAACCTTTCCTACAGTTTCTCTGAACTCTGTACCACCGCTTTCTGCTGACCTCTACAACTGTAGAATGCAGTCCCCAGAAAGCTAGCCTACTTGATTTCCTACCCCTTGTAGAAGCTAAGGGGTGCTCACCAAAAGGAGGCAGCCATACATAGGCCTTGGAAAGGCCTGGTCCCAAGTCCTTTTTGAAGCCATGGAATAAAACCCAATACATCAGCCTAATAGAGCATTGAGTTTTAACTGCAATTGCAATACCTACCACCACTCAGCCGCCAATGTTTCCTGAGACTAAAAGGACTAATTGCACTTTGAGGCTGATGCTGCTTTCTGGTGTATAGTCTCCGCATCAGATGACAATTAACTGCCCTCTGTTCTGCTAGTGGAAAAACAATTAAACCTGGGCATTTCATGTTTTGTTTTTTCTATTTTTTGTTTCGGAAAACGTTTTTGTTTTTGTGTTTGTACATGATCCACTCTTTGTTTTCTGGAACATGTTTTGAAACTGGTGGTTATGCAAACAATATTTTAAATATTTAGGTCACATATTTGTCCAAATCAGGTTTAATGGCATTGCTTCTGTCCTAGAGTAGGATTGAGAACATTGAAATCATGCAGCTCAGAAGTGCAAGCAGGGAGCTGATGAAGGATAGACAGAACTACAAACCTATCTAAGTGAAAACAAAGGGTGGACATAAGCCTGAACTTTAATATATAAAAACACTGATCTGCACAGTGGGAAGGTAGAATTAAAAATACTCATCATTCCCTTCCACTGATTTCAAAGTCAACTTCCTCATCTACCTTCCACTTCATCCCATCCAAGATTATAAATTAATAAATGAGTAGAAAGTATAAGCAATAAGACTAGATAGCACTTCGTATTTTCAGGATTAACCAAATATGTGGAAACCGACTCCGACTGTGTTCGTTTCCTAGTTTTTGAATGGCCTGGGCCATCAAGGGTCCCTTCCTCAGAGCGCTCCCTTGATGAACCCTCCATAGTCATCACTTAAAAACGAATGTATATACAAATGCTATGTGACATGATATTTTAAAATGTAAAACAATTTACCGAAAACTCTTTTCGTAAACATGTCTTTATTGTGAGACATAGCGTAAAAGAAGAAAGCCTGGTCCCTGCGCTCATCATGAGATAGAGTGTGGGCGCTGGGGATTCCAAATATCCATATATATGGCCTGGCAAGTTCTGTTCCGTCCACCACGGATGGCGATGAAAGAGCCCCTGCTGAGTCATTCTTAGTGTTGATGACAAAGCAGGAGACAAGCTGAGTTTCTGCTTAAGAAGGGCAGGGCCCAGGACAATGGTGCACAGGCTGCACAGGAGAGCATCAGTGGAATCGTGCTGTGGGGAGGGCGGTTGACAGGATGTTAGAGCCAAAGCTTTTGCATCAGCTTTTACAGCGGGGTGGGGAGGATTCAGACATGAAATTGCATGGAATTCCCCCTCCCCAAGGGCACTTGGGGAAGTGAGGAGACGGAAGGGAAAGGACACAGGCATGAAAAGTAGTATGACTGTGTTAACTGGAGCCAAAGTACAATCATTAGAGTAGAATAAGTTTAATAGAGGCCCCAAGAGGAAGAGGGTATCGTTTATCTAGTTTGGCAACTGAAGGAAACTCACAGGGACGCCCCCTGTCTGCAAAGTTTCTGGTTCCTCTCAATTGTGATGAGGTCTCGATCCTGGTTCAAGAATTCTCCATAGCGAGTTGGAAGTAACACGGGAGTCCCAGAACAGGACTGGGAAATGGACTTTAGGTGAGAGATGAGGGGCCAGGGATCACTTCCTTGTACCTGTTTTGGGAGATATATTTAGTCCTTAGAATAACAGAAAAGTGGAAAGGAGAGAAAATAGTCCATTTCTCTAATTAGTCCACTTCGCTAAAACAGTGATCCTTGAACTAAAAACTTAATGAGGAATTAGTAAAAGTGAACTTCTAGTTGAACTGGGAAAAAATATAAATGTTGGTTAAAGTCACAGGCTTCTTGCTTGGCTTATATTCATTGCATAGGGTTTGGGGTTTTTTGTTTGTTTTGTTTTGTAAAGGTGGGATGGAGAAAAAAGGGAAAGATCAGGGACAACTCATAATAATTTTTAAAAGGCATAATGATTTAGTGCATCTTTTACAATTGTTTCAAATTAAATAGATTTATATCCACTTACAGCTGAATGTGGGAACATTTTTTAAAAAAAATTGTGGTGTTGGCAGTGTCCTTCAGGTCTCTCACAGCCATATCACTCTTGGGGGAGAGGAGGAGGGGAAAAGCTGGCTTCACTGCTTTGTGACTCACAAAGCCTTTATAATGGTAGTGCCTTTCAGAGGGGAGGATGGGAGATAAAGAAGTTCATTGTATTTAGAGTGACTGATATTGCAGCATTTTTCTTCACTTTATAATATCTTTTAAATGAAAACATCTGAATATAGGGTGAGCCTAGGAATTCTTGAGTTACAACCTCAGCTATTCCTGATTCATCCTTTCTTACAGAAAGTCTTTGTTTTTATTTGGCCCAAATGTCCCCACCGTTAGAAAGTTAGGGGGAAAGAGGGTAGATGTTAATTTCATAGGAATGTTGGAAGAATACCTTAGTTGGGATGTCTAGAAAATACCTTTTTTTTTTTTTAAAGTGCTACACACTGCCAGTGCTAAGAATTTTATTGATAGGAACTTTGAACATTCCAATTTTTCAATATTCATGTCTTTAGATACCTTTTGCAAACTCATGAGGTTAAATTCCATCAAGTGATTTTAACTGGAAGTACTAAGTGCTCTTTATCTATGTTATTTGGTCTTGGCCTGTAATTTTGATCATTTAAAAGCTTGTCTACAGAAAAAGGTTAGGAAGAACTGGTTGAAGTTTCATGTCAATAAGCCGTCTTCTTCAGTATTTCTTATGGCAGACACACGAGTAAGATGCCCTCCAAAGCAACCGCTACTCTCTCCTCTCAGAGAGCTTTGCACTCTGGGAAAATTGTCAGAGAAGACCCAGACAGCCACTTTCCTCACTGGGAGGGCAGAAATGAGAAGAAAATATTGTCTGATTTTACACCTCACTCTTCAGAGTCTCACTGTCATCTGCTACAGAAGCAAGTTAAATGTGCAGGTGTAGAAATGAATAGAACTGTTGGTTCGGGGAAGGAAAATCTTGAATCTTTCTTTCTTTTTTTTTTAAAAAAAGATAATTAGTTTTTCTCAGGAGTATGTTTGCTTTCTCATAGCCTTTGTGATTTGGTGCCCGTGAGTTAGTCATCACTTCTTTTCTCATGTGAAAGAGCATGGAAATTTACATCTGTGAGAATATGTCCCCATTAGAGAATTAGGAAGCAAATATATTATAAACCAGATGGAGGTTATTTCTGTGAATTAGCTAAAACTCTGTCCCATGAAGTTGATAGAGGAGGGAATATTTCACACATAAGGGTCTCTGCAGCGGGGCAAATGTGCAAATACCATCCCTTGCTCAGTTTGGGGGAATGTTGACCTATTTCTTTCTCTCCCATGTAGCATCTCCGTGGAGTCCAGGCTAGGCAAACACAGTATGTGAGCTTTCAGTGGCTTCATTGTATTATGGTTTTTCTTAACTATTTAAAATCTCGGGATCACATACTCCACTAAGGGAAGCTCCTATGTTCGTATTCATTTTATAAACACTCTAAGGCTCTGGTTGTTTCATTAACTCTAGAGGATTAAAAGGCACTGCATTTTGTTCACAGACGACACATTAGAAAATATTCATGTGAGAACCCTATACAGAAATAGAACACAGAGGTATCATAGGCCGTATTTTCTTCATCACTTTTTAAAAAATATATTTTTATTGATTTCAGAGAGGAAGGGAGAGGGAGAGAGATGGAAACATCAATGATGAGAAAGAATCATTGATGCGCTGCCTCCTGCACCCTCCCCCCACCCCACTGGGGACCGAGCCCGCAACCCAGGCATGTGCCCTTGACCTGAATCGAACCCAGGACCCTCCAGTCCACAGGCCAACGCTCATCCACTAAGCCAAACCGGCCAGGGCCATCACTTTTAATATATGTAGAAGTTAAAAAGCAATTACTCTAAGGCAAATTTTCATCTTTGAGGGATATTTGCGGAAAGCCTGCAATAATACTCAGAGGCTATTGCGTTTCCCTGTCAGCCTATTTGCTGGGAGATTCTAAACTGTGGTCAGATTTAGTTTCTATTCAAATGTTCAAGATTAACTGCTTATTCACATAACTTATTTTGGATAGTGATAATAGCTGAGAAAATGGAGGGTGGTGGAAAAACGTGCAAATAAAATTATTGGAGTCCCAACTCTGGAGGCTTAATCTAAGCAACCTAACTTGCTAGCCCAAGAATAGCTAGAATAAGAATTCCATCATGCCTGACTTCTTTCAAGAAATGAATCCACAACCAGGAGTACTATGGAAACTGTTACCGTGATCTCAAGGACTGTGGTTATGAATTTGAAGTTAACAAACGTACATATTCTCTTACTAACTTAAGCCATATCTGTCATCTCTATGTTTGATTTTTTTTTTTACCCTGGTGCTTTTACCTCTGTTTCTGCCAAACTTCAGCCTACTCTATGGGGAAAGTGAGTGAAACTGTAGTTAAGACAAATGTGAAGACTGAAAAAACTAAACATCCTCTTTAGAGTGAGATCCTAGTCAGAGAACAGTAGTGATCAAAGTGCAAACTGTTAGAAAATACGGATATATGTACATCTGTACATGTATATAGTGTATAATATATATGTATATGTTATTGCTCATATGCAGAAATCTATCCATTTGAAGACAGCCCAGATGGGTCAGTTTTTCTATTGGAAAACGATTCAGGGCCATTCAAAATCATTAGGGCTGGTGGGTAGAGTTAGATTCTACTCAATTAGGAATTATTCGCAGTCTTGAAGTCCACAAAACCAAATCAACAAAGCCTGAAGCATAATGGGGCCATCGCTTAGGATATTATGCTTACATGGAGTCAGAAGTACCTTTATATTTGAATTATTAACAGTTGGTTTGCACACTGCACTGGCACCTCTTGGTTTTGAGTGACCCCTCCCCACCAAGTCTTTTGGGGTGGCTTCTCTGGCTCTTCAGATAAAAGGGCCTTCTCCATAAGTGGACAGGTTTCCCCATAGGGACCACTACACATATACATATAAGTTCATACTTTCATCAGGCTTGTTAATAATTGGTTTAAAAATCACTCCACAGTATTGATAAATAGCTCTATATTTTCAAGGTGCAGAAGAATTCCACAGCCTTAATTATTTCAGTGTCTTGCTGGTCTGCCTTAAGTGTATCTTCTGGGTTTTAGTTGTCTTATTATTTTTACAATTTTCAGCAGTTATTCATTTTGTATGCACACAATGTCGTTTTGTAAATGTAGGTTGTAAATATTTTATTTGTAAGTCAAATTCACTCATGTGTAATGTTGTAAAGTGATGACCTGCTGTCTTGTCATTACTATAGTAAGTGTTATAAGTTATGGATTGAAACTTCAAAGTGTACATCTCACAAGTTATTCATGCCTATAAATATACTATACAAAAGATGATTATTTCTGGTGGCTTTTTTGTTTTCTAATTAAAACCTTTGTTCAAAAAAGTAATTTTCTCTCTTTCCCCAAATATATGAAAGCTTTTGATAAGGTAAAAATATTACAACACTTTTTGCCCAGGATTTTGGATAGAAAGTAACAATTTTGTAACTTGGAGAAGAATTCTAAGGCATTTTTTTATTTTTATGTATTTTTATTGATTTCAGAGAAGAAGGGAGAGGGAGAGAGAGATAGAAATATCAATGATGAGAGAGAATCATTGATGAGCTGCCTCCTGCATGGCCCCTACTGGGGACCAAGCCTGCAATCCAGGCATGTGCCCTTGACTTGAATCAAACCTGGGACCCTTCAGTCCTCAGGCTGGCGCTCTATCCACTGAGCCAAACTGACTAGGGCCATTTTTTGTTTTTTAATATGTTATTGATTTTTTACAGAGAGGAAGGAAAAGGGCTAGAGAGCCAGAAACATCAAAGAGGGAGAAATATCGATCAGCTGCCTCCTGCACACTCCCTACCAGGGATATGCCTGCAACCAAGGTACATACCCCTGGCTGGAATGAACCAGGACCCTTCAGTCCGCAGGCTGGTTTGACTGAGCCAAACCAGTCAGGGTCATTTTTTTTTTATTTTTAAAAATGCTGACTAAGCCTCAGGTGTGAATTGTTAACTGCATTCTAGTGTTGCATGTGGCAACTTTGTTAGCAAATTGGCAGGCTGTTTGGGCTGGATCTCACAAGTTTATGAATCATAGTGTGAACTCGAGGAATCTGGAGTAGCCTACATAGATATGATCAGGCTTCGAAAGACTCTGCATATGCCACCCAAGTGCAAAAAAGACTGATTCATAGTACAGTGTCAGCTAGAGTGTTCAAATTGATTGGCTTATTTTGCCAATAAAAATAAAATGTTTTGCCCTAGCTGGTTTTGCTGGGTGTATAGAGCATCAGCCTGTGGACTCAAGGGTTCCTGGTTCGATTCCACTCAAAGGTACATGCCCAGGTTGTGGGCTCGGTCCCCAATAGGGGGCATGCAGGATGCAGCCAATCAATAATTCCCTCATTATTGATGTTTCTATCTCTGTCTTCCTCTTCCTTCCTCTCTGAAATCAATAAAAATATATTTTAAAAAATGTTTTGCCTTAGCTGGTTTTGCTCAGTGGATAGAGCGTTGGCCTGCAGACTGAAAGGTTCAATTAATTTGATTGATTTTTCCTCTCCCCCTTCCTCTCTGAAATCAATAAAAATATATATATATAAATGTTTTAATATTTGGCTTCTATTTCATCAAGATTTACTACATTTATTTAAAGTGAGAAACAACTGTCAACAGACAGGCTCGTCACACTGGTTGGTCAGCACAATTTCTTCAGAGAAAACGCAGATAAACATAAATAATATTGAAATGAAATAGAAATCAATTTGATGAGCAACAATCATTAGCCCTATGGCTTTCTGGGTTGTGTGCTTTAAAGTATTGCCTTCTACACATAATGAGAACTTCCTCCTCTTTAAGAGATTTATTTGTAAAGACCAAGTACGCTTGGAATTTCAGATTGGCAGGCCAGGTTACCCTCCTGGATAACCTGGATCCCAGTCAATTCATCCTCTGCTCTCCCTCTCTTCATCACCTGTGCACGTGCTACATGCCGAGCACCTGAGCTGCTCTAAGGGGAATAAACATACTCCTCCAAGACACACAGAGCCCGCAGAGGAGGTAATGAACCTGCTGAGAGATGTATAGTCCCACGTGCAAATTGCTGACATTGTCACGTGACGGATGCTGGGACGTTAAGAGAAAAACTGGGAAAAGGTCCCCGCCTTCGAGAACTTGCACTTCATTTGGTGAAACCAGGTGCGGGGCGTGGCTAGTGAGCAGCAAATACAGACGTGCTTGCCTAAGTAGTGGAGCTAATTAAGAGGACTCAGCTTTAGAAAGTGGGCAGGGTTCAGATACAGCCTCTTGAAAGACTTCGCGTCACGTTCTTGGAGCCGATCTACCTATTCCGGGCTTTAAATCCCATCGATCCCATGCAGAGGCCGCCGACATAAACATAAATCTCAGCCAGGTGCACTGCCGCCACCTGACCCGTGTTACCTAGGCCCCAGAAGAGCGCGCACCGAGCGAGCCAGCCGCCGGAAAAGGGGCGGGAGGGGCGGGGCTTCGAGGGTGACGTCATCAGAGCGCCGCCGTGCTGGCGCGCTACGGCTTTTGGCGCGAGTGTGGACGCTTGCACCATGGCGGTCGCCGATACAGCTTTGGGGTCGTTGGTAAAGGGCCTGTACGACGTGCAGGCTTTCAAGTTTGGGAACTTCGTGCTGAAGAGCGGGCTCTCTTCACCCGTCTACGTAGATCTGCGGGGCATCGTGTCTCGACCAAGTCTTCTGAGTCAGGTGGCCGCCCGGAACGGGGAAGAACTGGGCGGGTGGCGGGAAAGGGACCAGGAGAGGGAGGAGGGCGACAGGAGTTGGGGAGCCGCAGAGCTAAGCGGGAGGGGCGCCCCTGCTGTCGGCCTGGGGAGTCCGCGTGAGAAGCCCGGAGGCCAGGAACTGTCCGTTTTTGGGGACCCAGAGAGCAGCCTGCTGGTTTACCCGCCGACTTGGACACGTGGTTTGCCAGAGTCGGGACTCCAGGTTGGGGCCCGGTCTCGCACAGCTGTGGTTGAAGGGCTTCGGTGTGTCTAACCTCGGAAGGTTAGACGTGGGGGAGGGAGAAAAGGGTGGGGAGTTAGTGGCTGTTCAAATACTTGGAAGGAGGCTCCATTTTGCACTGTGTGACCAGGAGCAGGAATTAAGGCCTGAGGGTGGACATTTCATGGAGGGTTTCTTGTTTCGTTTTTATGGTCAGTATAAGGGGAAACTTCCTACGCATTAGAGGTTACTAGCACAGTGCTTCTCAAACTTTGAGCAGATATGAACCCCCTGGGGATTGTGTTCAGCGGTGTGCCAGGGGGGGTAGATCCGAGGCAGGACCTGCGTTGTGCCCTTCTCCTTAACCGCCACCCGAAGCTGCAGGCCGCGCTCTGGGCAGAAGGGGCTGAGTGTGCTGTTCGGGACAGTCGCCACTAGCCACGTGAATATCGAGCAATATGAATGTTTATTTTTTTATTTTATTTTTTTATTTTATTTTTTTTCTAATTATGCGGGCATCCTGGTATAGTTAACAACAGAGTTGGCAGGAACCAGGCCCAGGATGCCAGCCAGCTTCCGACTGCTGTTCTCCCAGCAGTGTAACACTTACCTAGGTACGAGGCCACCTAGGCAGCTGCCTACGGCTGGGGGAGCAATATGAATTTTTAAATTCACATAGCCACATGTTGCTAGTG